CAAAGGTGAAGAAGAAAAAATTTATGCATTAGGCTCTTTGTTGGATGAAAAAACTAATGAACTACTGGATCAGTTTGCCTGTGATATAAAAGAGAAATGGAATTCTGAAAGTGAGCTGACTGGACCATCTCCTGAATTCTCACTGGGCAGAATCCTTGACAAAAACCAGAGGGCTATTTTGCATAGTGCTATTCGGCAGAAGTTCCCTTTTTTAATAACTGTAGGAAAAAACAGTGAAATTGTTGTAAAACCAAATCTTGAGTATAAAGAACTCTGTCACTTGGTATCTGAAGAAGAAGCATCTGACTTTTTTAAATACTTGGATGCAAAGAAAGAAAATTCCAAATTTACCTTTAAACCTGATACAAACAAAGACCACAGAAAAGCTGTTCACCATTTTGTCAACAAAAAGTTTGGAAATCTTGTGGAAACCAAATCTTTTCCTGAAGCTAATTACAATGTTGGTAATCCAAATACAGTGATAACGGTAAGATTTCGTGAAAAAGCACACAAGCACAGGAAAAGGTCTGCTGAATCCCAGGAAAGAAAAGTTATATACACAGGTAATTTGATAAATCATTACCATTTTCTTTGGTAAGCTTAATTAAAACTGTGACAATAAAAAAAACAGTGAAAGCTGAATAACTCAAATGAATTGAATGGACTTGTCCAGAGGGATATTGGAAAAAAATATATGGGCCTGTTCTTAATGGGCGATAAAGACTTTAAAATTACACTAATTGTAGAAATAATCCCTATTGGTGATAGGTTAACACAGACATTTATAGTTAACAGTCTGAAATATGTAAGGTTGAAGCAGTTATTTTGTATTTAGTTAGTTTTATTGGAGTAAATTCTTTTTAAAATATATTTTTATTGATTTCTGAGAGGAAGGGAGAGGAGAGAGAGACAGAAACATCAATGCTGAGAGAGAATCATTGATTGGCTGCCTCTTGCATGCCCCCTACTGGGGATCGAGCCAGCAACCTGGGCATGTGCTGACTGGAATCGAACCTGGGACCCTTCAGTCCACAGGCCCATGCTCTATCTACTGAGCCAAACCAGTTAGGGCTGGAATAAATTTTGATATAATATTTTGGGAGTTATCTTAATTAAAATTAAGTATTTGTATGTTAGCTATGGTGGGGAAAGTAGGAAGTAATTTGCAGATACATTTGAGGATTCATTTTGAGTTTTATTAAAGGAGGTACAGCGTAAACATTGCTGTAAGCCTGTCATATAGTTCTACTATCATAGCAGGATCCTTCTGTGGTTTCTGCTGAATGCCCTTAATTTTTCTTTTTTAAAATCTTTATTGTTGAGAGTATTACAGATGTCCTCCCCTTTTTCTTTCCCATTGCCCTCCTCCACCAGGATCCCACCCCACCCCAATAGGCCTTCACTGCCCTATTGTCTGTGTCCAGGGGTAATGCCTATGTGCATGTAAGTCTTTGGTTAATCTCACCCACCCCCCGCCACCCCACCCCCTTCTCTTTGAGATTCATCTGTCTGTTCCATGTTTCCATGCTTCTGGTTTTATGTTACTTTTATTTTATTTATTTATTTTTAAATCTTTATTGTTGAAAGTTTTACATATGTCCCCCCTTTCCCTCCCATTGACCCCCTGGTTCTATTTAATTTATCAGGGTTTTTTTTGTTCATTAGACTCCTTGTTTGTTTATTTTGATTTTTAGATTGAATTGTTGACAGGTATGTATTTATTGCCATTATATTGTTCATATTTTTGATCTTTTTCTCCTCCACTTATTGAAAAATGATCATATTTTTCTACTAAAAATTAGTGAGGATTGTATTATTTTATAGTTCTATAAATCTTTCTAATATCTGACATAAAAAAGTCAGCTAAGACTATACTTTCAGGGATCATTTCTATAGTTCGTTACTAGAGAAGTTTCTCTGATCGTGTAGAGCACCCGAAACCACGAGGAGGAGATGCAGCGTTCTCTCCGGAGCGTGAAGCCGGCTCTCGGTGTTGCTTCTGCAACCACCGCCTGCCATTGATGATCGTTCTTCTCTCTCTCGGGGGAGAAGAGGGAGAGGATGCATTCTGAGTGGCAAAAAAGAAAAAAGAAAAAAAAGAAAAAGAAAAAAGAGAAAAAAAAAAGTCAGCTGTATTCTCATTTCTTTTCCTGCAATCTAGTGTAATTTTTTGTTTTGACTGAAGCAAATGAACAGAATTCAGTTCACACAGGCATGTAGTTGAAAAAGGGAGAACATTATGGACAGATGAAAATATTTGATATTTTGATCTTTCTATTGCTTTGACTATTTGCCATACTTCCATTCCTTCTTCAGGCCCCCACCACAGCAGCACTTCTTTCTCAAATTCTTTTCCAAGACTGAATGCTCCCAAAGCAGTGATCATTTTTGTTTTATTGACCTTTCTTCCCAGATTATTTTATTTAAATTCTATAATTAATCCTATCATGACAATAGCTGAACTATTTTTGAGGTTATAATCTCTACATTTTAAATGTGGGGTTTTATTTTAATTTTATTTTATTTGAGACAACTGATAAAACAGCTAACTTAAAATCAGAGGTTTATATTCAAATCCATTGGTCAAGATACCCTGAAAGTGTAAAAGCAAATTGTGATTTAGCACACAGAATTAACTTGTATGATCCTCTCCTTTCCTCTACTTCTTTTATCAGTTCTTTAAGAAACAGGAGTCATAGTACATTTAATTTATCACTGCTGTAATAGAAAATTTGGGGAATCTAGGAAGCTGTTATGGTGGTACAAAAATTAATGACCCTAGTGATAAAAAAAAGTTGAAAATAGTGGACAGTGTTTGAATATTCTTCAGAAATTATAGTTTTACACATTAACAATTCTTAAGGATTTAGGTAAAAATATAAATATATTTTTATTATAAAAACTGAAACATTGAAAATATACTACGTTGCATTGCAGATTTTTAAAACTTTCACATAAGTGATATACATTATGTGTATTTTTGAATCTTGCTATTTTTGTTTTTAGAGATTATTTACATAGACATATAAAGAACATGTAGTTCTTCCCCATTCTTTTAAATACTACATGATGTTCCAAAGTATGGATATTACAAGCTTTGTTTAGCTATTTCATATACAGGTTGGGCAAAAGTAGGTTTGCAGTTCTGAGTACACAGAACACGAGGTTTATTATTGCACTAGGGGCCCAGTGCACGAATTTGTGCACCTTGAAAGGAACTGTGGGCTGTGAGGCTGCGGTGGGCACAGGGGCAGGTCTTGGCCCATCCTCAGCATCCCCACCCGGCCCTTCCTGCCATGGTCCCCAGTCCCCTGTCTGCTGGCAGCCCTGCTCCTGCCACAGCCGCCACTTCCATGTGCTGATGGTGCCGGCCTTGCTTGCACCCCCTGACTGTGCGGAGCAATTGGGGCCAGTACCAGCAGTGGGTGCGAGCAGCGTCTGCTGCCCTGATCACCCCTCAGGAGCAGGGGGCGGTGGAGAAGCCTTCAGGGGTGATTGGGGCCAGCAGTTGCACCCGCTGACAGTGCCAGGTGATCGGGACTGGCGCTGGGCCCTGGCAGCGGGTGCGAGTGGCAGCTCTGGCACCTGCTGCAGGTGCGAGTGGGGCTGGTGCCAGCAGGGGTGTGAGCGGCGGCTCCAGCACTGGCAGCAGGTGCGAGCTCTGGGCGGGACCACAGCATGTGGGAGCAAAGAATTTTCAGTAACTACTAGAGGCTTGCCCCAATGACAGCGACCGGCACCCCGCCTTGGTCTGGCGCCCCCACTCACCTGCTCCACCATCCTGCCTCAGCTGATGCCCTCCATGTTCCGCACTCTGCTGCCTGCTGCCAACACCTGCCATGTTCCGCGCGCGCCCCCTGGTGGTCAGCTCACATCATAGCGACCAATTGTTTGGTTGTTCGGTTTGGTTCCGCCATTCGGTCTAGTTGCATATTAGGGTTTTATATAAACAGATTATTATTTATTAATCATTGTATTATTTCCCATACAAATAACTGTAAACCCACTTTGCCCTCAAAGTGTGCAATTGTAATTTTAATCAGCAGCTATGGGCCTCTCTGAAGAGTGTTCTAAGAAAAATGGACATTAAACATAAACATGACCCAGCAAGTAGAAAGATGTAAAAATGTATGTATGTACCTATCTACCTATGAACCTAGATTGGTTGCGTCCCAGATGCACCCCAACCAGGGCCAGGGATGGAACCTGCTCTTGACTGGGAATCAAACCTGTGACCCTTTGGTCGGTGGGTCAATGCTAGAGCCACTGAGAAATACCGGCCAGGGCTGAAATATCTTATAGGTATATATGGTGAACTGAGGATTGCTGTATTTTGTCACTGTCAATGCTGGCAGCGTATATAGGTCAATGTATTGGGGGCCTTTTTGGTGGGCTTGGACCTCCTTCTCATCTCCACAATCTCACTCCCATCTACTATGAAGCATGCATTGTTTTATTCACTGGCTTGCTGGCCTGGAACTCTAAGTCTATGGGGTGGATAAACCATAAAGAGATACATTTTAATACATGGTATTAAGTGTCATGATACAGATAATGACAACTTGTGGAGACATGCAAGATGAAGCAATCATCTCCTTGTGGAGTTCACTTATTCATTGATTCAACAAGTATTTGAATACTTATGTGTTAAGCTGAGGATATAATAGTTGATAAAACACACATGATCCCTGCTTTGGGAGCATTCAGAGTTGGTAACCTGGAAAAAATATGAGGGAGGACTGCTGCTGCTATTGGATTATGAAGAATGAATACAAGTATGGCAAACAAAGTGGAAGGAACACATATTTTAGACAGAGAAACTCAAATGTGCAAAAGTACAAAGCTGTGGAAGGCTCTAGTTCACTCAAGGATTATGAGACATTCTCTATCAGTATTATAGGATATATGAATGGAAATGGCACATGTGGGTTCTGAAAAGGGAGAATGGGCCTAATATGAATGCCAAACTAAGGAATTTGGATTTTTTTCTATAAACCTTTAATGAGCCAATTAGCATTTTAAAAATGACCACTGAAATCTATGACACTGATTTTGTATTTTTATTAAAAAATACTCCTTATTTAAATTAATGATTTGACTCATTATATTAATCTGTTAGTCTGCTAAGAATGTACTTGATGTATGGTAGCTGCCTTTTTTGTAACCTCAAATTTTTTTTTTCAGCCTTTACCCTAAGAAAAGAAAATCTAGAAATGTTTGAAGCAATTGGTTTTTTAGCTGTCATACTTGGTGTGATTCCTTCAGATTTTAGTTACGCAGGCCTTAAAGACAAGAAAGCCATCACCTATCAAGCAATGGTTGTTAGAAAAGTGACTCCAGAGAGGTAATAAAACATTACTTGATAAGAGATAATTTTTTTCTTATTGCATCAAAAAAGAAAAGATAGGATTAAACTCTGAATAATTCTAGGAGCATATTAACCTCGTTAATGTTATTTTACTGAGTATAGACTTATTGAGCAACACATTCCGCATTGATAACATAATTATTTTCTATATAGTTTTCTAGTAAATTTACATTGCAAATATTGGTAATTTTACCATTGAAACTTTGAGAAGTGGCTGATTTTAAATGATCCAATTTTTTCTAAACATCCTGTTCTATATTCAAATATGCATTTATATTCAGGACAGTGTCTTACAAATCTTTTTTTCCTAATTACTATAATACTTTTATACTTTTATTGTTGTGCTTCCTTATATTTAAAATAAATCTAAATAGAAAGTAAAGCATTCAAATTTAGCCTCCCTTGAGCTAAATTGATTATTAAAAGTATTTTTGGTATTGTCAAAGAAAGATGTTTATTGTATATTTGGAAAATAGAAAAATGCTATATAAAAAAGAAATTAAAAGTCACTGATAATTCCATTACTCAGAAAGAACCACAATAATATTTTGAACCACAAAAAAATGCCTTCCATGCATTTTTCAGACTATCCTATATACACACATTGTACAAAGACTTTTTATATATGTGAAAATCATATTGTATTTGCAATTTATATTTTACTTATAAAATTAAGATCCTTTTAAGAAAATTTGTGTCATGAAATATTTCAAAATTATTTCCATTATTTAGGCTAATTTATTTAACTTTTCCCTAATTTTGGAAATAGAAATTTGTTTCAATATTTCACTGTAAATAATACTGTTATTAATATTATTATATTTAAATCTGTGCCTTGTAGCTACTTTTCAAAAAGTTGATCACCGGGCCAAAATTGAATCTAATTTGAGGTAATATAGATGTATAATTCTTAGTCATAGATGTTTTTAAGTATGCACTATTTGCAGGTAAATGCTTCTAAGCCAGTGGTTCTTAACCTTCCTAAGGCCACGACCCTTTAATACAGTTCCTCATGTTGTGGTGACCCCCAACTATAAAATTATTTTCGTTGCTACTTCATAACTGTAATTTTGCTACTGTTATGAATCGTAATGTAAAATATCTGATATGCAGGATGTATTTTCATTGTTACAAATTGAACATAATTAAAGCATAGTGATCAATCACAAAAACAATATGTAATCATATATGTGTTTTCCGATGGTCTTAGGCGACCCCTGTGAAAGGGTCGTTCGACCCCCGAAGGGGTCGTGACCCACAGGTTGGCGACCCACAGGTTGAGAACCGCTGTTAAGCTCTAATATGAGGGACCAAAAAAAGTATATAATTTTGTTTTTATGATCAAAAGCGCAATATAGGTAAGAGAGAAGGACTTTAGATGTTAAAAGGTATTTGATGTTAAAAGCTGGTTTTTAATTACCCAAAGACAAGTATTATTGATTTGGCTTATGGGTGTGGGGTTTTAATGATCTGTCAAGTTATAGTAAGGTTTTAGACAATGCAGAAAATTTGAAGCTATATTTGGAGAGGTAATAAGCTAAACAGTTTGTCTGATAAAACAGTTTAACATTAAGAACTACAGTAAATGTGAATGTAAAGAACAATTAACATCAGTTCTTACATGCTCTTAAAAGTTATGCAAATAGTTGGAATCTATTCTTTAGATGTTGACGAAGAATGGAAAGTTTGAGTTCAGAGCATAATTTTGGGGAAATCCTCTGGTGCTAGTAGTTTTTCTTATTAATGTTGGAGGAAGAGAGAGGAAAGGAACAAATTTAAGAATAAGAAGAACAAAAGAACAGTTAAGAAATTATATCACTTGAACTAAAAAGTCAAAAAGTCTACATAGATTGAGTTGATAACATTAGGAATATATATCCCAGTTTTTTTAAAATAACTGATTAACATAATCCTATAATAATGGGGTTTTAGTGCACATTTGTTGAATTAACATTAACTTTGGAAGATGGAAAAAATTTTTGTTTTAGTGTTGTGATATAAGTGATTACCTGGCAACTGTCATTCAAAACTTATAATATTTTTTAATGTAAGATTTAACTGAGTCTATATGATTTATCATTTATAGGTTGAAAGATATTGAAAATGAAATTAAAAAGAAAAGAATGAATGTGTTTAATATTCGGTCTGTAGATGATTCCCTTAGACTTGGTCAGCTCAAAGGAAATCACTTTGATATTGTCATCAGAAATTTAAAAAAACAAATAAATGATTCTGCAAACCTGAGAGAGAGAATTTTGGAGGCAATAGAAAATGTTAAGGTAAGAAAACTCAATTTTAAAAGAGTATTATAGGAACATTTTGATAGTCCCTCTATTTACATTGAAGTGAGAAGATAAACTTTTTCTTTTTTACCTTTTCTTTTTATTTACATGTATAATTTTTTATTGAGTAGAGAGAGAGAGAGCTGTATTGTTCCACTTTCTTATGTATGCATTGATTGCTTCTTGTATGTGCCCTGACCAGATACCAAACCCACAACCTTTGCATATTGGGACAGTGCACTAACCAACCGAGCTACCTGACCAGGGCCTGTATAATTATTTTTTTAAAATGATATTTACGGCCATTTGGCTTATTTTTAAATTTTCTTCATAGTACATTTTTGTATTAAACAACAACTTTAATATAATTAAAAAATAAAATGTGTAAAGTTTCCCAGAGATGGGGAAAAATAAAGCTAACTATATAAGAAGAATGTTTTTCAGCATCTGTCATATAGGGTAATATTTTAGGGAAAGGGATTAATGTTTTTGGAAACTTTGTTTAGTAATTCTTTTCAGAAATCTTTGGTGATTTGGAAAATAATCTTTTAGAATTATACATATTCTTTTTTTCTTTTCAATCTAATTTTGAATTTTGTTTCAATGTATACAAATGGCATTATATACATTATATTATGTCTTACAGTAAAAAATTACTTAACATGTATTTTTAAATGACATTTGCCAGGCATTTAAATATACGTATACAACCATATCCTTTAATCAGATTGTCTAGACTCTAGACCAGGGGTGGGCAAACTTTTTGACTCGAGGGCCACAATGGGTTCTTAAACTGGACCGGAGGGCCGGAACAAAAGCATGGATGGAGTGTTTGTGTGAACTAATATAAATTCAAAGTAAACATCATTACATAAAAGGGTACGGTCTTTTTTTTTTTTTAGTTTTATTTATTTCAAACGGGCCGTAGTTTGCCCACGGCTGCTCTAGACTATGGGTCAGCAAATTTTTTTCTATAAAGATCCAGTAATACATATTTTTTACTTTGTAGGCGTATGGTCTCTGTTGCAACTATTCTATTGCTATTGTGTGGAAGCAGCCATAGACAATACATAAATGGTTGAACATAGCCATGTTCCAATGAAACTTTATTTACAAAAACAGGTATTGGGCCAGATTTTACTCTTTGGCAGTCAGTAGTTTGCCAGGTCCTGATCTAGGACAGTAATTCTCAACATGCGGGGCTTAAAAAAATTTTCAGCAGTGAATCTCTACCCCCCAAACCAATTAAATAAGAACACTTGGGGATGCAGTTTAGGCATTAGTATTTTAAAAAATAACTCCTTAAATGATTCTACTTTGTAGCTAACATTGACAAAAACTGATCTAAGTTTCTGGTCATGAAGACCTTTTTATACAATTTTATGCCCCCCCCCCCCCCAGGAAAACAAACAAAAACTGTTTTTTAATCAATATTATGTCTTATAGTCAGGAAAATATCCTCCAATTAAAGATTTTAAATCCAGCACATTCACCTGTGTATAGGATTTCTCTTAATTTATACTCCATGTGCAGTTTTGTTACCGGAGGAGCCACCTGAGTCTGAGGGGGCTCTCCCCTCCTCAGCTCTTGTGTGTCTCTCTCTCTCTCTTTTCAGACTAGTGACAGAAAGCAGTATTGAACAAAGCAGATGAAGTTATTAAGGAAACAAAGCAATCAAATTTATAAAGCATAAAGCACAAATGGGCAACTCAGCTAGTCTGAGTGCCCTGCTTGGTGAGGGTTCAAGGGTTTTATAAGGGTGTCTCCCCCCTCCCCCAAATGTATACACACTTTAACAGCTGATAGCTCTAGCTCCTATTACATTTTGAAAATGAAAAATATTTTAATAAATACTATATATATATATATATATATATGGTGTATGTATTTTGGGGGGACATCCTGTACTTTTCCCCCTATAGGTTTCAAGGTTCCCCTGCCAGATACCTTAGGCAATAGACTAGATTTCAAGGTCCCTCTTTGCATTGTTGTGGCTTTTCCCAGAATGTATGAGAACATCTGGGGATTTTATCTTGGCAAGTCCCAAGACTGCTGACTTCTTTGTTCAGTGGGTGAGATAACCACTCTCCCCCCCCAACTTTCCCCTCCTCCAGCCCTAGCAGCTATCTATCTTGCCTAACAGTTTTTCCTTTTTTTTCTAGACCTACCTAAAATTCTTTTCACTCCTGAAACACTGTTATTAAAATAATCTTTCTTACAAAAGGAAGGAGGTGCTATATTGTGATTTATAAGAAATATATATTTGGTCATTCATATAACTAAAATATATTTTTCAGTTATATATTTGGTCTTCATCCACAGTTTCTGGCTCACAGGTTCCCAAACCCTTGGAATTTCCTAAGTGTTGAGAGTGGTAGAGTTGTCTTTTGTTGTGTTAGTGAGGTGACTTTTGTAAAGACCCTAAGGATGGGGGCTGGTTTTATATGGAGCCAACTTTATGATTACAGGGTTATAACTTTTAGTACCACCCCCTGAATTGGGAGGAGGTAGGGGCTGACAGTGGAATCAATTGTCAGCAGCCAATGATTTAATTAATCATTCCTCTGTAATGAAATCTCCATAAAAACCCAAAAGAACCCAAAAGAAGGGTTCATTCAGAGAGCTTCTGGATTGATGAACTCCAGTAGAATATGCAGGGAGATTGGTCCACCTGGAGAGGGCATAGAAACTCTGCACCACTTCCCACGTAGATTCTATGCATCTCTTCCATCTGGCTATTCCTGGGTCACATAACTCTGAGTTTATAATAAATTGGTGATCTGGTCAGTAAAATGTTTCTCTGAGTCTGAAGGCCTCTCTAGCAAGTTAGTGGAATACGAGGTAGGGATCTTGGGAACTTCTAATTTAAAGCAAGCTGGTCAGAAGTACAGGTAACAACCTGAACTATCGGCTGGTATCTGAAGTCCAAGGAGTGTTTGTTGTAACCTTCAGTTCACAGCAGGTCATCAGAAGCACATGTGCAGCCTGGGTTTGTGACTGACCTGGCTTCTGAAGGTGGTGGGGGTGAGGCAGGTCTTGTATGACTGACCACCTCCAGGGGTCCTCAAACTACGGCCTGCGGGCCACATGCAAATACATATATTGTATTTGTTCCCGTTTTGTTCTTTTACTTCAAAATAAGATAGGTGCAGTGTGCATAGGAATTTGTTCATAGTTTTTTTTAAAAACTATAGTCCAGCCCTCCAACGGTCTGAGGGACAGTGAACTGGCCCCCTGTTTAAAAAGTTTGAGGACCCCTGACTTAACCTGTAGCATCTGATGCTATCTCTGAGTAGATAGTGTCAGAATTGAGTTGAATGGTGGGGCACCCAACTGATGTCAGAGAATTGCTTGTTGGTGTGGGAACTCCCTCTCCACATTGAAATTGGATGCTCAGAACACCAAAAGAGGGGTCTAAACTCTGATAGCATTTATTGTCTATCTCATTTGGTACTTATGGATATGTAACTGCTCATTATAAAAATCCCCATTTGGAATAATACTTGCATTAGCCAACTTTTCTTTAGTTCTCATCATAAGGGAAGGGAGTTGAGAAGCCCTGAAAATACTGGTAAGAAGTCTTTGAAGTTTTGTTTTAGAAGGTCATGTCTCTGATTGCTATAAACCTTGTTATTTCCAACTCTAAGTAATTAGAAGAGGTAGTTAAAATTCTTCTGGCTATTCTACGATATTATCCTATGTTGTTGTTTTTTTTTCAAATTTGAAATAGTTAAAATGTTAACTATGAGATTTAATACAGGGAGTATTTATTTTTTATCTGCAGTTGATTTTCATGAATAGCATGAGGTAAGGGTGCCTTTTGTACCATGCCAATAACAAATTGTCTTAGCATCTTTATTGAACAGTCCTGGAGTTGGTGCTCAATAATAATTGTTGAATGAATAAATATATACTTCTTTCATAAAGTGAGTGTGGAAGACTCTTTCAAGAAACCATCTGGGCCTGGTGTTTTCTTTGTGAGAATATATTTAACCACTGACCAATGCCTTTAAATGGTTGTAGTAATAAATTACAATTTTCTATTCTTGGTGAAGTGACACCATGTTATTGTCTTAGCCTAGGCTTTCAGAAACTGAGATGGCTGAAAGATGAACTGGGTTTGAAAATAAATCTGTTTCTTATTCCAAACATGTCCAGACAGCAGAATCTCAAATTCAGAAAGAGCTCAGGGCAAAGATCAGATATAATGCTAGGTAACTAATTCATCCCAGTTTTCCCAGAATTTGCCCCATTTTAGCACCCAAAGTCCCACATCCCAGGAAACCCCTCAATAATGTTAATGAAAAGCTAAAATTTTAAAAGCTTTTTCACTCAGCTTATTTTCTAACTTTTAATCATTCATTCTTCTCCTTTTTATTCTTTAA